CCATCAGTCCTGGTCTTGCACAAATAAACACAACATACAGGTACACAATGTATTTTTCAATACCTTCCTGATACTTTTTGGTAATAGTTTGATTTTTAGTTCTTAAAAGTTGAACATGGACATTAAGCAGTGGCTCAAAGCTACGGGCTCCGACCTAAAAGGGGCCCCGGCAAAAATGTACAAAAAATGTAATTCGTTTATAAAAAATTGTGAAAAAAATTTAAAATTTCCCGTATCCTTTAATGTTATGCTTCTATTAATTATTTAATGTTTTCCGTTACTAAAGGAAGAGATAAAACGTAAAAAAGCGTAATGCAAATGCTGGTTAATGTTTTATTTACCAAGGGCTATGCTCATGCTTTCTTTTACAGTTTACAGTTACGGTCCGAAGAAAATTCTGAATCATTGTTCACGGAGGGTAAGTAGAGGTGAAGAATCTCGAGTAATAACTGCAATATACAAAAATTAACAATCCGCAGAAGTAACTCTTGAATTTCAATAATTTAAATCTGGCTTTAATCTAATACAAAATTTTATATGATTAAAAGTAATAGCCAGCTCAAGTAAATTTAAAAGCAACTCCACTCCTTTCCTATTTGTTAAAAATAACATTCCGAAGTCTGTAATCAAACTAAACGAGTTTAAACATCGAAGGAACATTAACATTTGACCAATATTAAACAAATCTGACCGAGGCTCTGACTGAACGCACAAAGCAAAGTGACGCTATTTTACAATGGACCTGTGAACCAATGAATTCCAAAATGCAAAATCAGCAAAACTAAATCACGACACTATTTTCTACATATGTATACACACTAACATTGTTTAAAAATTGCTGATATAAGGAAAGGGCCGCCAAATATTGCTGTGTTTATTTCGTCTGGCAGGATGCAATTTTGGAAATCATAATTAAGATGGACAAGGGCGGTCTCCTTCTTATGTAATTAACTTTCATAATTAAATTTTGTAATTTGTCGTTGGTCTATGTGACGGCATGGAAATTATTGTCATACGAGAAAGAGGTGAAGGCTGATTTTGTTTACCTTTTTATTTTATTTAACGTAGAAATTTCTGAGAATGTTGTATTGATCTTTTTCTGTTAGTAATATTGTATATGCATAATTTAATTGACAGGTGGATGTGATTTATCGCATTTTCCGTGTAGTTAAGAGATGAATTTTTTATTTTTCCTAGTATTTTAGTTAATTAATGTCTGCTAAGAATTTGTTTAGTACAATTATTTGACCTCTATTACTTTGGCCTTTTAATTTATATTGAGGGGATATGTTCTGTTGTCAACTGTGTAATGATTGGTTGTTATAACTTTGATTTTCGGAGAAGGGTTTCGCTCTAAATAAGATTCTGAACAGGGGGTCGCTTTATGCCACGTTTATTTTTTATTGAAATTTAAATCAGGTTTACGCCAAGAGTCAGAGCAGTATTACGTTTTTTTGAAATTTGAAGATAGAAGTTCCGTTTGCGTAGCCGGAAGCCGAGTTCGCGGCTAATTATTATTCTACATTTCACGGTTGTTCCGGTTTGTTCAAGCTGGAGGATTGTCGCAAAGTTTTGACCATCTAATAAGGTGCTTCAAAGAAAAGAGGTTGTCGGCGCCCCCATGTGTGTGTTTTCAACGTGTGTTCAAAGTGTAGTTGTTGAATTGAAATTTGTAATTTTGTGTTTTGTGTACGGATACAATTTTAGTTGGATTACAATTCCCGGACATGTAATGTAAGAAATTAAGTTTTAATTTTAGTCTTTGTGTAATAATTGTTTGTTTTTGTATCATTTTCCTTGTGTGTGTTAGAATTAAATCGCACTTTTGTAATTTTCACTCAATTTGCGTGTGTTTCATTCTAACGACTTCATTTCTAATTCAACTGTTTTTGTTGGATGCTTGCCCACGGTCCATTTTAATTATTTAAAATTTTGAAGTTCAGTTTGGAGTTTGTGATGGAACCGAATTTGCCCGCTAAAATTCGATTTAAATATTTCCCGAAACCGACCCTGGCGCGACGAAAAAAGTCAAGATTGCGCCTTGTTTCGTTTCCGTGGAACACGTGTTTTTTTCTTCTCTGCTCTACATTGAAATGGGCCATAATTTACAATAAAAGTGTCAAATATAAAGCTATGCGAGGGAACTTAATGATCCCTATCGACCCGACGTCTCGGAGCGCGATCGATATTAACAATTTTCGTCTAGGATTTGTTTGAAAAGGGGAAATTTAGGCAGAGGTATTTATGCTGTTCTTGAGGGCAGAAGTAATTTTTACGTTGCTAGTGCAGCTTTGACAATTACAAAGGTGATGTACTCGTTTTTTTTATCTCTACGTCTATTGCATCCATCTAATAATGATATTATCGTGTTCGATTATTTGCCAATTTAATGTTATTCTCGTACACCATATTATTGCCATTTATGACACATTCTAGATACAACTTGCACTTTTAATTATACTAGTCATACTTTGAATTAAATGCATAGAGATTTTACATAAATATGTTGTTTTCCAAGCGCTGGCAACATGAATTACTGACCGATTTACGTTTTCTTATTTATATTTAGATACTGTATGTTCCCTTAGGGGCGATATTCAATACAAGTATACAGAACTACAGCAGAGGCTGGCTAAAGTTCAGAACGGACATACGCAGAGATATATCTTTGTTTTTTTAATGTTTTTTTGTGTCTTTGAAAAGAGCCATCTTGCCGATATTGCTAATCAATCCGATTAGTCGATCCCTGACATGTAGTGACCGAATATTGGTTTTGTGTCAGTCTTTGTTATGCCAGTGCAAATATGTCAACTGTCAACACCTACATAAATTCTGTATATTTTGTTTATGATTATGTATGCGTGCGAGTTTGCCGATGGTTGCTGTGTTATTTTTGTTATGTCATGATTTGTCTTTTGATCGGTTACTGTCAGTACTCATGGCAGAGAGCCTGGAGTTCGGTAATTTATAACCCGGCACTTTATAACTAGTGGGTTGGACTGGCCCTAGAGATGTGTGAATGAAAGAGTTGGGGTCCCGCTTAGTCGTACATGAGGGCGCAGGCAAGTCCCGACCTCACTTGCGCAGGGATCTGCTAAAAGCGTACGGCGTGTTCCCGTTGTGCCCTTTGTTTTTTTTGTATCCATTGGGGTATCCTTCTTGTGTGAAATGCTCTTCTGAGAGGCCAACTCTTAGCGATTTCATACAATGTTGACATGTCATGACCAGAGCAACTAAAGACTACTCGGTATGGGATTTGGACTGATTATCCAATATCCAAACTTATTATGTGAATTTATTGTACTGTTTGCATTCATGCCATTACAGACAAATAATTTTACTATAAAGTTCAATTATTAATTTGTTGGCTGGGTTTTTTCTTGGTTAGTTCTTTTTTTCCCAGCCTATTTTTATATTTGTACTCGGTGAACTACCATTTTCTAAATTTAATCTTGCAATGAGAATTATTTGGATTAAATCTCCGTTTTTAAAGCAGGTACTTGTTTTATTTGTATTCCTTACTTGATCCTCATTCCGACAAGCAACACATATCTTGTAGCGACTCTTAAAAACACAACGTAGTAAGTGGTCCTATTATTTTGTTATTCAGGTTAAGTAGCTTTGTCTAGACGATCACGTGCCATGGGGTTCAGTTAGTTTGGGAGCGAAAGTTTTGAATTTAAATCTTGAGTTGAGCAGTCTCTCGCGGCTGGCCTGGGTACATTACAAGTTTATGGTATTTGGTCTGACTCACTATCTGTTAGAAGTTAACAGGTTAACTGAGAGAAGAGTCGAATGCGAATCTCTCCTCTGTGTTGGGGACAAGTTTTGTGCTGGGGCTGGGATAATAAGCGAACGTAAAGAGCTAGCTAGGTTTTTGTTTTGGTGTGTTGTGTACGGTCTTTCTGGTCTACGGACCAGTGCACACAGCAATATTTTTGAAGACGGGTCTCTAAAATGAAGTTACGTCACTGGCATTAAGCTAACAATGGCAATACTTAGATATTACCTAATACACAAAATAATAGGTATACAAAATCCACTAATCATTGGGTGTCAAAAAATATCGATTCAAAGAAAGCAACGGATGTCCGAGGATCCATCGATATCCGATTCTTTCATCCATAAAGTTCATACACGTTGGATTTCCTTTGTTTCAGCTAAAGTTATCTGACATTTAGTTTCCATGGAAACAACCGGATTCGAATAGGAGAGTTATCTACCACATAAGTTTTATCGCAACATGAAAAACTGGCCTGAAGTGGTTTAACCTGTATAATATAGCCTCCCTTTGTCGTGATTGGACAAAATTTACCGAATCGTGTTATTATTGGTCAATTTAAATGGGAAGAAAATGCTCGGGGAAACAATCGTATTTACACTTTCTTATCAACGTAAGTTATTTTTAGTTTAAACTATCTCTGACATTGCTAGATAGTGAAAGTATACGTACTGGAATAAAAATCTTGATACCTAGAGCTTTTATCATTCGACAACCCCAAAAGTTAATGGCCAATATCTCGGCTACGTTGAATTTAGCTTCCAATTTCTGAGAATGAAGAAACTTGGAGCATATGTATAACGTATTGGCACCGAAAATACAGTTAGCTAAGTCCATAGGCGGAAAACGGATACAAACAAAACGGAACGAAACTGACAAAGTTCTAAATTTAAAATTTAATTAAATGCGAGCGCGAAGCGAGATATGAAAATTTAACTTTTCCAAACTTTTCTTATTTCATAGAAAGACGTAAACTGCAGGTAGGTATTTGATAGCCGGTTACCCGCGCTCTTTCGCAAAGGTCGAAATTAATTCGACTCGTTAAAATTAATATTCGAGTTAAACTGGAACAATTCGATTTTGGTGCGACTTTCACGCTTGTCGTCGTGTTTGTGACACGCGTCACATTTTCAAAAGTTTTCCGACCACATGTTCGCGAATTTATCACCGATCAAACGGAAGCAAATCGCGCGAAACGCCTACTTATCAACTTACTTACCTTGAATCAAATTTGGTACCGTCAACGAGTGTACCGGTGTAATGCATGGTTAAAGTATCCCCCTTTTTACTTTTGACATCACAAATTTCGGGACGGCTGACAACCTCAACTTTAAGTTCGTCATCGCACCTCGCCGCCGCGACGAAGACGGCGACGTAAAGTACGGATACCGCGAAAAAATTCATATTTAACTAACCACAAGTTCAACAACGTCAAACTGACTGAATGAGCGCACAAAGTTTTCGTTTCGCCAACTTTGCCACGTTCCGTAGACGAGCGGGAGTGGGAGTGTAGTAATTTTGTTTCACTCGAAACGGGTTTGTTAGTAAAGGACGCGAAATGGTAATGCCACAGGTCCCACGCGGATTGGGTACTGCATACACGTGATTACGTGCATTCTAGGATCCGCCGCTCTAATATAAACTCTTGGAAAGTTTGTGACCCTGTCGAAACTACTTCCGCAAACGCAAAGAAAGAGTTGTCGCGCACAAACGTTGCCGTAATAAAAGTTTTCTTGCACATCGCGAGTGAAAGCACAAATTAACCGAATAATGATGTGTGTAAACTTTTACTTTTCGCACGCTAATTGTAATTTTCTATGGTATTTATTCGAAAATTACCATAAACACGATACCTAATGCTGGGCGCATTCTGTTGTTATACAGCAAATTTGGATGGTCTGGTTATTTTCCACTTTTCACGTTTTGATTGCACACAGGCACACAGGCAATAATACAGGATGTGTTGAAATTATCCACGGACATTACCAAGTGCTACCATTTTCAAATGTCCCCAAAGAAAGAAATCAAGCAAACTCAAGTAGTAAGCGCATGGCGGGCATTCTATGGCACCTCTATCGGTCCAATAATTTGATTTCCAAGAATAGCTGATATTTTTGCGGAAATTTGGTACGATCTTATCGTCTATCGACACTAGTATGGATTTTTGTTATCCCAGTACCTACAATGATAATGCATCCCGGCTTCATTTTTTACTTCTGGTCTACGCAAAGTACATTAAAAATAAAAAGACCCGTGTGTCCTCAATTTTTATTTGCGAAAATTATTGCCCAAGCCCAAAATAAATTATTGAAAAGCTGTGTTTTTAGTCCGAATTTGAAACGCTTCTGTCTAAAGTCACAAACCTACAACCAATCACGTAGAAGTGAGCCGGCAACCTTGTGCGAGGGTCTGACGTTTCCCGGATTTGACCATAGCCGTCTATAATTACAAGCCATGCTGAGAAGTTTGGCAACGTTGCCCGAAAGTCAATCGGTGGGCCGATATAATTTTAATGGCGTCTTGTTGCTCTTGAAAAATTGCATTTTTCCTCTCTCCTGTGTTTCGCCTTTGGTGGTTTTAATACAGAAGAAAGATACTTAGGCAGCTTACAATTGTACATATATTTTATTTAATTACAAAAGTGGATAATAACATTTTTATTTGACGTTAGAATTCGGAACCCTGTAAATTGGTAACTGCATCATAATGTGTTTTCCATCGAGATCTCCGAAATTGGTGAACTTCTGTCGAGAGGTCGAGGTGAAGCACACGCTTGGGCACTTAATTTCGGCAAAAGGACAGTAAATCGCTGTGCATCAGCGAGGTTTTATCAACGACCAGGTGTGATTCGGAATGGCAGATTTTAAGCCAATCGCTACTCCAGTGGGTCTAGGTACGAAGCTTTTAAAGAGGGGAGCCCCGTAGACTTCAAATTCCCGTACCGTGTAGCCCTGGGAATAAGTCGGAAGGTTTCTTCAGAAAATCGACTTGACATGTCCGTGCTAGAATATCTGAAATACCCACTAATAAAATAATTCTTGTATTATTTCACGTTAAACACTTACCGTACTTACGTACCACGTAGTGTGTAGCTCATATTTGAGCTTAGTACAGGTACTTTGAACAAATACAAGTGCTTGAAAAGCGTCCACTAAGGAGTAGCCTGCTTTAGAGGTTATGACAAGAAATCGATATATTTCGTTTAGCAACTTACCTGAATAATAATTTCTGTTCATTCCGTACGGAGTAACACAAATTGTCGCAATCTGGCTCTGTAAAAACAGGTAAAAAGGAATATTACACCCAAAACACACATAAAATACACCTGAAATCTGTCAATTTGAATTAGGAAATCGGCCTACCATGCAGTGTTGCCATAATTCTCAGCACGGCTTGTAATTATAGACGGCTGTGATTTGACGTTTTAAGAGGCATGTTTAACTGCATCTAACGCGAAAGCACAGCCGTCTATAATTACAAGCCATGCTGAGAAGTTTGGCAACGTTGTTCGAAAGTCAATCGGTGGGCCGATTTAGTTTTAATGGCGTCTTGTTGCTCTTGAAAAATGGCATTTTCCTCTCTCCTGTCTTTCGCCTTGGCGGTTTTAATATAGAAGAAAGATACTTAGGCAGCTTACAATTGTGCATATATATTATTTATTTACAAAAATGGATAATAACATTTTTATTTGACTTTAAAATTCGGAACGCTGTATATTGGTAACTGCCTCATAATGTGTTTTCCCTCGAGATCTCCGAAATTGGTGAACTTCTGTCGAAACAGGTCGAGGTGAAGCACACGCTTGAGCACTTAATTTCGGTAAAAGGACAGTAAATCGCTGTGCATCAGCGAGGTTTTATCAACGACCAGGTGTGATTCGGAATGGCAGACTTTAAGCCAGCCGCTACTCCAGTGGGTGTAGGTACGAAGCTTTTAAAGAGGGGAGCCCTGTAGACTTCAAATTCCCGTACCATGAACTCTTGGGAATAAGTTGAAAGGTTCCTTCAGAAAATCGATTTGACATGTCTGTGCTAGAATACCTAAAATACAAACTAATTGTATTTTTTCATGATAAACACTTACCGTACTTACGTACCACGAAGCGTGTAGGTCATATTTGAGCTTGTACAGGTACTTTGAACAAATACAAGTGCTTCTAAAGGGTCCAGTAACGAGTAGCCTGCTTTAGAGGTTATGAAAACAAATCGATATATTTCGTTTAGCAACTTACCTGAATAATAACTTCTGTTCATTCCGTACGGAGTAACACAAATTGTCGGAATCTCGCTCTGTTAAGACAGGTAAATTGGAATATTACACCCAAAACACATATAAAATACACACAAAATCTGTCAAGTTGAATTGCGAAATCGGCCTACCATGCAGTGTTGCCATAATTCTCAGCACGGCTTGTAATTATAGACGGCTGTGCGCGAAAGTGAACGACAAGTGACAAGTGCATATGACAGATGACGCAAGTTACAAATGACAGTCTCCTGCAATATTCGTTATGTCATCTGAATGGTTCCAGGAGCTGATTGGTCGGGCTTATTACGTCACAGAGCCCGCCACAATCATATCGTTTTGAATAAACCCTTAAAACCGCACATGTTCATTATTTTTTTGCTAATCAGCCTCTGTTTTTAAATAAACTTTTACTATCCAAAAAAATGTTTTATGGTTTTATGGAACTACGGAATTCAACTATACTGTAAACCCCCATTGTACCAATGCGCGTTGGTTATCGATTGCACACATTCGTCTTCCTTTTTCGATTGCGAACTGTGACAGAGTGCACTTCACTTTTAATTAAACAGCTGAGGTGTTTGTTTGAAAACGCATGGAATTTTAATTGCCACCATTCATATGTTATAATTCTTTGGCGATTGAATTCTTAATTTAGGGATTCCGTTTGGATGTATTTACCCTTAACTCCGATATAGTTAGGATATTAATATTATTAATTTGTTTTTGCTTCTTCGTAAGTTCGCCATTTGCATTGCATCCACTAGAAGTGTATGTTTCGTTAGGTTCGGCCGATATCACTGCCACATTGTAAATTCCATTGTTGCATTAATCTATATGAGATATTGGAGTAGCAGAGTTTGCAATTAGCCTCGTTAACTGTTTATTAATAAAGATAGGAAATACAAAACTTGTGTAACTGTCAATCTATATTAATTGTGACAATTCTAACCCACTTGATCTACAATCTACAATGTGACTCGCTATCCACATTCCAACAATCTATATAATATAATATATAATATCTTATTTAAACAAATATATACATTTTAAAGTTATCAAGGAAGAGGGTTACCTTTGATTTTCTTTTAGGGTTCAAGTCTAGTTTAAATTTTGGGTTTAAGTCCTATTTTAATTGTTACCAGTTTAACGGATTGAATTTAATGCAACTGTAAGGACCAGCTTAAGTTGAGAGATGCTTTACCTACCATTCTGTCGACGTAGGTACGAGTGCGTAACCTTGGGGTAAATTCACCGTTGTCTATACCTGTCAACACCTCTTTACAGCCTTTCCATCTGCTGATAAGTAGTCGACATTTGCTGGAATTGGGTCATGCACCAGATTTGATATCAAGGATTCGATCATTAACCATGCAACAACTTCCGTAACTGTTTAGCGTAACAATTAATCATTATTTTGCTCCTTCAGGGTTATAAGCTCTGGCCTTCAATTAATTTGTTACCTTCAGTACCTATTTATTATCTTTGCGAACTCTGTTATGGTCGAGTTTAACACGCGAATGTTATGGTAGCCCGCCACTTCCCGCGGGAGAGGTTGGCCGAGTCGGTATCGTACTTGTGATCGAAGCTTACTACGAGTAAGCATTGTTCAGGTTCAGTTCATTGCATTCCAAATTCTGCGACGTGGGAGTTTTCTTTTGTTTGCAGGTTTATGGATCCGGGAGCTGAGCTCACTTCTCTGGATGATATCTAATTTACATTAAGGTAAGCGTTGCATTTTTATGTTTTACTTGTATTTGGCCTATACGTGCGCATTTGTGTTCGGAACATCAATTTCTTTGTGGAAACTTGAAGATCAAGCAATCAATTCAATCGATCATTCTTGATTGGAGTTTTGTTAGACTGGGAGATTTCAATTATTGTAACTTACAATTTTGAACATTTGAATATTTGTGTATTACGCTATCCCATTGTGGCGCCATTTTTATTTTTGCCATTTGCTTCAATAAATTGTTTTGTAATTGAATTGATTTGTACTCTTTTTACTCCCCCGCACATTCTCAATTTCATACGGGGAGAATTAAGTTAGAAATTGAGTGGAGCTCAGCCCTTGATAAATGCTACGAAGTTACCATGATCATTTTACCCAGCATGAACTACCGCTGTGGAAGATTCTCAAGCTCCTATTTTGTGTTTAACCCTAAGGCAGTGCCAATTCTACATACCCGATATAACCCATTGTTCATTATTATCAGACCATTCAAGTGTCTGGTCCTGATAGGTTTTTT